ATCTATCTATCTATCTATCTATCTATCTATCTATCTATCTATCTATCTATCTATCTATCATGGCAAATAGGAGGCAATACAAATCTAATAAATAAATACAATAAATAAATATTATCTATCATCTATCTCTCTATATCTACCTATCATCTATCTATGATCTCAAAGCAAGCTAAAATGAAACAGAATCAAAGTCCAAGTTTTGCCTGTAAGTTCAATTCAATTGCTGGATCTTTTATTTTACACTATACGTCAGCTAATATTCAGGTTTACTGTTACTCTTAATGGCAACTGTACCAAGTCATATATAGATTAATATCTCTCAATCTTCATGTTATTTCTTTTTGTAAATAAACAGAATGCTGTGAAATAAGATTCACATTTTTTCCTTTTTTTTCTCAGATAAAGTTCACCAGGAGATGAATGAAGTTTTTGGTTCTTCGCCCTCAATCTCTTACAAAGAACGGAAAAAACTGCCTTATACCAATGCTGTGATTCACGAGATCATACGAAAAAAATATGCTTTTCTATTTGGGCTTCCAAGACAATGTGTACAGGATGTTTATCTGAACGGTTTTCTCATTCCTAAGGTATAGATTTTAGATTTTCTGAATTACTGGATCTGTATGGTATGGGCTTCATACCCAGGCAGGAACTCTGTGACTAAACTCCAGTTTTCTGATTTATTTACTTTGGACTAAGTGCATTGTATGAATCCAGCAAGAGATGTCAGTATACTGTTCTTGCTGGCATGGGTGGACATTGTGGGTAGGTGGTTCCTTAGATAGCTTCAATTCATACCATGAAGGACTAAAGACATATTGTTTTTTTTAGCATAGGATAGAATAGAATTCTTTATTGGCCAAGTGGGATTGGACACACAAGGAATTTGTCTTGGTGCAAATGCTCTCAGTTGTACATAAAAGAAAAGATACATTCGTCAAGAATCATAAAGTACAACACTTAATGATAGTCATAGGGTACAATAAGCAATCAAGTCATACTAGGAAACAATCAATATAAATCGGAAGGACACAAGCATCAAGTTACAGTCATAAGCCATAAGTGGGAGGAGATGGGTGATAGGAAAGATAGGAAAGGTGTAAAGATTAATAGTAATAGTAATGCAGACTTGGTAACTAGTTGGACAGCATAGAGCAGGGGTTGCCAACCTTTTGGACCTCAGGGACCACCAAACTCATAATTTTAAATCCTGCAGACCAGAGACCCTGGGAAAATCCCCAAAAAAGTCTGCAGGAAAATTCCCCACCCCATTTTCCTACCGATCGATCATTCTTTATTTGGGATCTCTGGATACTGTCTCCAGCTCCGTTCTCAGGGGGAGAGAGAGAGAGAGAGACTTTTGGCTTCATGCAAAGAAAGCAGCAGAAGGAGCAGAAGTCTTTCTTTCTCTCCCGCAAACTCTTCCAGAAATGAGTCTTTGCCGGCACAGCCTCTTGGAGCAGGATGCCTTGCAGGGTCCCAAAGACTCATTTCTGGTGGAGTTTGGGGGAGAGAAAGAAAGACTTTTGCTGTTTTCCTTGTGTGCAGCCAAAAGCAGAAGAAAGAAGCGGAAAGAAGCAACCCAGTGGCCAGGCAAGGCACATAGGGCGAGTGGGGCAAGCTCCCCCTTTCTGCCCTTTCCCCCCTCCCCTCACTACCTCGTGTTGCTTGCAATGCAAATGATGCAAGCCTTGTGTTTATGCGGGCCATGTGGGTGGCGTAGCCTTGTGTTCCTGTGCAGCCTGGATTAATTGCTTTGGAGGGTGCTTTGAGGGTGACATTTCTCTGCGGACCACCAAAATTTTGTCACGGCCCACTGTGGTCCCCGGCCCACTGGTTGGCGATCACTGGTGTAGGGGGAATTATTTGTTTAGCAGATTGATGGCGTTCGAGAAAAAGAGATTGTTCTTGTGTCTAGTTGTTCTGGTGTGTGGTTCTCTATAGTGTCATTTTGAAGGTAGGAGTTGAAATTGTTTATGTCCAGGATGTGAGGGGTCTGTAAATATTTTCACAACCCCCTTTATGACTCATGCAGTATACAGGTCCTCAGTAGTAATCCAATTCTCTGGGTAATTTGCTTCTTCCTGTGTTAGAATCTCCTCCACGTTTTATTTAAGTTTATACTTAAATAAAATAAATAATAATTGTTTATAATGCCTTGGTAAGACCACGCTTGAAATCCAAGAGGCTTTCACAAAGAATCTATTCTTCAAAGCACCTGAAGGCAGGACAAGAAGCAATGGATGGGAACTAATCAAGGAGAGAAGCAACCTAGAACTAATCTTCCCAAACATGTTTTTTTTTTCAAGAGTTTCAAGACTTTCTTGTTTTTCTTTGAGGATGTTTCGCTTCTCATCTAAGAAGCTTCTTCAGCTCTGACTGAATGGTGGGGAATGGAAGGATTTATATTCCTTGCAGACAGCTTGGTCCTTTGCATTCTTTTTGCCAGTCCTTAAGGTCACCTTGAGGTTTATCTGTATCCTCAGGGTTACCTAAGGAGGAATTTCCTGACAGTTAGAACAATTAATCAGTGGAATGACTTGCCTCCAGAAGTTGTGGGAATGCTCCAACACTGGAGATTTTAAGAAGAGATTGAACAACCGCTTGTCTGAAATGATATGGGGTTTCCTGCCTGAGTAGGGGATTGGACTAGAAGACCTCCAAGGTCCCTTCCAACTCTGTTATTCTTTTAAATAATAATGATAAAATAAAGAAATAAATAAAAAAGAGCTCTGCCCTATAACATTTTGGGAACACCAGATAAAGCCAGCCTGTTGGCTTTTCTGATTCCCCTCTTGATTTCTCCATGTGGAGAGATACTTCTGCAATATTCATTCCAGTGGGCAAAAGCAGAGTGAGTTATAATCCTTCAAAACAAAAGCAAAATATTATCTGCACGTGATGGGCCTTAATGAGAAGCTTCAAAAGATCCTTCCTTGGTTTGGAGAAAGAAAGTTAAATGATAGAAATATATACTTGAGTATAAACATATAATTTAATAGATATATACTTATGCAAGCACAAATACTTAAATGAATATAATTATAAATTAAATGTTTATATAAATAATAAATACTGTAATTCTAAGGGCAAAGAAAATCACATTGGAGAAAAAATAGATTTGGATTTAAAATAGAAATGAAGAAAAACAAAATCTAGAGTTGCAATAATGTATGCTTAATGAACCGCTTACATTTGCCAAATCTAAATTTATCTCTTTTGCATAATTACATAACACTGCAAATTATTCAACTTGTTTCTACTGAATCCGGATTTACTAGATGCATCCGCTACAAAAGGGATTAAACCTGAACAGGTTCCATTTGTTAATTCCAAAATCTGCTGTATCTTCTAGTGTTTTCAAAATTAAGTGTATATAAAGTAACAAAAATGGGTGGGCAAGCCCTCAAGAGATAATTGCAAGTCTGGGCAGACTGCCAAAAGCTATTATTAGAAATAACAAAGCAGATCCTGAAAATACTTAAGGAATCAGGTTAAAAATAACACAGCCCTAACGGAATTAACCCTTAGGACAAAAGAATTAACCCTTAGACAAAAAAAACAACAACACAAAAGCTCGGATAGGATAAACCCCTTAAAGCAGGGAAACAAAAACCTACAGCAATCAGAAACACAACAAAACCCATCAAGCTGCAGAAGCTTCAAAGGGGAATGAAGCATAAAAGGCTCAGATTCAAACTCCCAACCTGTTTGCAAGCCAGGAACCTTGAGCTGTGTCACTTTTTGTTTCTTGCCTTGCTACATTAAAAGAATTCCACTTTCTGGCAGCTGGCTTCTGCATCCATTTCTTCTCAGCGTCTGTGGTGTATCCCAGCTGGGAACAAACTGGGGAAATTTCTTCCAATACCAGAAACAGTTGGGCTTGTCTAGATGTTTCAATATGTTAATTTGTTCTTTACAGGGTGCTGTCATTTTTCCAGACTTACGTTCTGTTCTTTTGGATCCTGAACACTGGGAAGCACCTGAAGACTTCAATCCAAATCATTTTCTGGACAAGGCAGGAAATTTTGTAGAAAAAGATGCATTTCTTCCCTTTGGAGCAGGTAATTCTCAGAAAAGTAATTGTGATTGCCAAATGATACTTACTGAAGTCTAAGACATACCTAGCTTTTGGGGAGGAAAACCTCTGCCTCCTTGCAGCAAACAGCAAACAGCCTGTTTCAGCTTCAGCACAGCCTGATTAACACAAGCAGCCTCCTAACAATCAGCTGTTTCAGGCTGAGGGATTGCCATTGCCTATTGCTGCCTCTGCACACCCCATTTTCAGCCTCTGCATCTTGTTTTCGGCTTCCACATGCCCCATTTTCGGCCCTTTCCAGGAGGTGGGGCTCGGAACAGGCAGAAAATGGGGCACACGGAGGCTGAAAATGGGGTGTGCAAAGGCCAAAAATGGGATGCGGAGGCCTAAAATGGAGTGAGTGGAGGCAGAAATAGGTGATGGGTATCCCTGCAGCCTGAAACAGCTGATCGTTGGCATCCCACCAACAATTAACAATGCAACAATGCTTGTGCTAATCAGGCTGTGCTGAAGCTGACCAGGCTGTTTGCTGTTTGCTGCAAGAAGGCAAATGGCTGGAAGGCAGAGGCTGAAGGATGGGGACTGGCGGGTGGGTGGAGCTTTGTCAACATTCACTATATAAGACACACAAACATTTCTGTTCCGTATTAGCAGGCTTGTAGGCCTGCATTCCTATTGGTCCGGAATAGCCGGGCCGTGATTAGACGTTATAAGCACTCCTGATTGGCTCATATGGGGATTGCCGCGATTGGGCAAAACCAAGCGCGGCAAGCTCAAAAACCTGTCATTGGCTGCCTAGCTGTGGCCAGCTCTATAAAAAGAGCTGCCGCGGCTAGGGCAGTTATCTCAGAATCTAGCTACTGAATAAAGAGCTGTTGTTCACTACCCATGCCTCGCCTCTTCTTGGGACCCACCGACCGAACATAACAATTTCCACTCACTTTTTTGGGGGGCAAAGTGCATCTTATACTCCGAAAAATATGGTAATTTACGAAGAAGGCTATAGTGAGAAGGAAATACAGGTGGCTCTCACCTCATAACTGGTCACTTTGCAACTGTTTAGATTTATTTATTTATTTATTTTATTTTGTTAAGCAGTTATAAGATAACAGGTATAGGTATAAACGTAGTTATGGATACATGAAATGGATACATATAAGAAAAATAAAAAAGAAACAATAGGACAGGGACGGTAGGAATGTTGGTGTGCTTATGCATGCCCCCTACATAACATAAGAGCCAGGACAGAATTCAAAAGCACTTCAAGTTTATTCCATGCAAACTACATACAAGACTCTGAACTACTAACAATCAATGCGAATTGGCACCAGATAAGGGTCAACAGACTTCAAGGTGTGTTTGTATTGACTCTTTTGGGGGTATAAGATCTCCAGACTGATGATGCATTTGACCCCACCCTCAGGCTCAGCCTGGTCATCTCCTACAGGACTGGCCAAGACCTAGTTATGACCTGGTCCCAAAGTTACGACTACTGCAATGCCCCTGTAGTTGTTCACCCTTATGACTGATCACAGTGACCCACCCAACCTATCTCCTCCCCTAACAGCAGGCCTGGGACCTGCTTCTCACCCCACCAGGCCCCATGTCCTCCACCTCATTTAGATTAATCTAAAAAAATACATCTGTTAATTTCTTTTTACAATCCTTAAATTTCCAGTCTTTCTGTAATAGTTTTTCAATTGATCTCCACCTAAAAGTTGGGGAATTACTTTTAAAAACCTATTTCAGTGGGTTATGATCGGAAAAAGACTAGAATCCCCACAATCCTATTAACCATACTACAATAATAAAAAACAATTAAGATAATCAAAAGCCTGGAGATGAAAACATATGAAGAACGGCTGCAGGTGGCTAGTCTAAAGAAAAGAAGAATACGTGATAGCAGTATTTCAATGTTTGAGGGGCTGTTACAAAGAAGAGGAGGTCAAATTATTCTCCAAAGCAGCAGAAGGCATGAAAAGAAACAATGGTTGGAAACCAACCAAAGAGAGAAGCAAATTGGAATTAAGGAGAAACTTCCTAACAGTGAGGACAATTCACCAGTGGAACAGCTTGCCACCAGAATTTGTGGGTGCTCCATCACTGGAGGTTTTTAAAAAGGGTCTAGAAAGTCACTTATCTGAAATGGTATAGATTCTCCTGCTTGAGCAGGGGGCTGGACTAGAAGACCTCCAAGGTCCCTTCCAGCTCCTATTCTATTCTATTCTATTCTATTCTATTCTATTCTATTCTATTCT